AGTTTCTTTCACAAAAGGACCAAGTTCCCTAGCCTTCCCTTGATCCTGTAAGTGGCTGGACAGAGAGCTTTTTCTGTCCAGTTTCTAAAGCAAAAAAGTCAGGCAAAGAGAGGGTGAGCTAGCAGTCATGGCAAAAGTCGAGCCATCACCTGCTTGGTGGCCCCAATGAATCACCCCTGATTCACAAACAGTCATGAGGAATCTGCATAAATATGAGCCCTTCAAAGAGCCCTTCCTCGGGATGATAGAGAGGGGCAACTGTTTCACTGCCCACTCCCTTCAGTTCCTTCTTGCTTTCTCCTCTGTCCCACAACCCATTCTTACACAGAGACCCTAAAAACTGACCAGTGCCTCGCTCCCAGGGAGGAGTGATTGCTTTAAACTAGTGATGATTTCATCCACAAGAATGTGACTGCTGGTTTTAAATGGCATATTTGCCATTGGGCAGTTTCGAACTGACCTTTCCTTTCTGCCTGCTTGGTTTCTCCTAAAACAAATGGTCTTTTTCCTTCTTCAAGCTGTTTCTAACAGACTCACTTAGACTGGTTTGATACACCCAGCCGAAAGGGAGGAGGCTTGATTCGAGGGAACACAAAGATATATTGGCTTCCCGGAGCTCCTGATTTCATTTAAAAGTACCAAATACGCAGCCTAATCAATAAACATATCCAAAGTAACTAGACCATCAAAGCACTGCAAGGTGCTGAGGTTTCAAAGACAAATACAGTGTGTCTGCTTCCTCAGGAAACTCATGATCTAAATGAGCAGACAAGAAAGGGCTTCTAATCACCATAAATAGTAATATAAGGGACATATGATTGGGGCCAAATGCATTTTACTGACCATAAGAGCTACAGAAATGTGTAAAGGAGAAATAAAACTGTCCTCAGGAGTCACTGGAGAAGACCAGTTGGAAGAAGAAGTTTGAGGCAAACACTGAAGGGTAAGGAGAATTTAGACAAGCAGCAAATGGAGAAAGGAGAAATTCCAGGCAAATGTGACAGCCCAGAACAGTGCTCCTTACCTGGAAGGTTTGCAACAACGAAATGCTGAAGCAGGAGAAAAAGACAGGGAAGAGGGTAGCAGAGAAAGCCGGGAGAAGGGCTGAAGAGCAGAGGCTGCGGTGGGGAAGGGCAGAAAAGCTAAGGTTCCTTTTCAGGAGCATGTGGTAGGGGACAGTCCAATATGTCATTTGGGGAAGTAGGGAAAGCCAAGTTGTTGAGAAGGGACTTCTCAATCCAGCCTTTTAGGCAGTAAAGGGTGGGGGGATGGGGAGAGGTAGTGAGACAGGTTAAAGCAGAGGAAAGGAGAGGTCAGAGAAATACTTGGCACTAGGAATTTTAAATTATAAGAAATGAAAATGATTTCCTGTTGTATTTGAAGAGAACGGTCATATTTTCATGTAGCCATGAAATGAGAAACAGTCACCCCCCATCCACAGACTGGAAGGACTGTTCCCCGGCCTCCCTCATGGGTTAGAAGGAGCAAGTCCTCCCACCTTCCACTTCCCTGGTTCTTAGGAAGAAATAGGGGGGCTTGGAATGCTTTCTTTCAGTGCCTGGGCCCCCTCCTCCACTGTAGCTGCTCAGCTTGGAGGCCTGCCTGGCCCACTCCTCTGAGTTTTAGAATGTCATTCAGAAAACAGAGCTTCACGGACAGCATCATGTGCTCCAGGTTAGCACTCATAGGTGTTAGGGGTTATAATCCTTAACTTATTTATATTGGGGACTAATGCACCATCCTCTTATCCACAAGGAAGCAAATATCTCCTATACTCCCTGTATTCGTTTCTTAGGCTACCATAACAAATTGCCACAAACAGTAGCTTACAACAGAAATGTATTTTCTCACAGTTCTGGGGGGTCAGAAGTGTGAAATCCCTGGGCCAGCAAGGCTATGCTCTAAGGGCTCTGGGAGAGAAGACTTTCTTACCTCTTCCAGCTTCTGGTGGCTTCTGGTGTTCTCAGCTTAAAGATGCCTCACTCCGGGGTGCCTGGGTGTCTCAGTGGGTTAAAGCTTCTGCCTTCGGCTCAGGTCATGATCCCAGGGTCCTGGGAGGGAGCCCCGAGTTGGGCTCTCTGCTCAGCGGGGAGCCTGCTTCCTCCTCTCTCTCTGCCTGCCTCTCTGCTTACTTGTGATCTCTGTCTGTCAAATAAATAAATAAAATCTTAAAAAAAAAAAAAGATGCCTCACTCCAATCTCTTCCTCCACCTTCACATCATCTTCTCTTCCATGTCTCTGTGTGTCCAAATTTCCATCTCCCTTCTCTTACAAAGACACCAGTCATCGGAGTTAGGACGCACCCCATATCCAGGATGATTTCATCCCAAGATCCTTACCTAGCTATATCTACAAAGACCCTATTTCCAGATGAAATCAAATTCTGAAGTTCTGGGTGGACATGAATTTTTGGGGGGATACAGTTCAATCTACTCCATTTATATTAATAAATAAGAAAGTATCCCCTGTCTAAATGTTATAATTTAACTTACGGTAGTGGGTTATTCCTTCGATATGGGGTCAAAATACAGTGGAGAAGTCATTTACTTAACGATAAAGAATATTTTTGGTAAATATCCCCTCAAATGGTATTATCCAAACCTCTCACATCCAGACTCCAGCCTCGCCCTGGGTGCTTACCTTGTTTTCCTTTGTGGGGGTTCATCAGGGCTCTGAATCCCAGGATGTTGCCTGTTATTAAAGCTTCCATTCCAAAAGGCAAAACCATCATTTTCAGGAAGCTCTTCTGGGTCAGACACTTCCAAGTACTGGCCTTATTGTGATGAAAGACACAAAGCCCCTGCTCCCACATAGATCATTCTAGTGAGTATACAGATGGTAAACACAAAATGCATAATGATAGAATTTGAGATTGTGAGAGGTTTAAGAAAAGTAAGTAGAATTACTGCATCAAAAAAAAAATGGGTCAAATTTTTAGAAGGAGTGGCCAAGGTGAGCTTCTTTCATGGTACATTTGGGCAGAATAATGAAGTTAGGTCTCGCTGTCACAACCTTTCATCTATTGCCTCCACTGTATTTCTGGTAGAGGTTCTAAATAGTATACGTATTGCATTCAACATTATTGTCCTATAATATGACCACAGCTCTTTATGTCAAAGGGTATTCTGGTCATTGCATTGCCAACCAGCCCCAGACTGATGCATCTGTGTGTAGCCATTCATAGTTACTGCGCCCTCGGCACTATTGTAGGTGCGGGCACATACAGGAAATACACGGACCAAAATGCCAGGATCATGTCACTCCACTAGTATGGGGCTTGCATTCCAGCTTTAGACTTGAACACAAAACACTCAGGTTTGATCCCCAGTTCTAACTCTCAGTCTTCCCTTACCTTTAACCAATGACTTCATGGTTCTAGGCCTCAGTTTCCAAGTCTATAAAGCAAGGAAATTGGACTAGACAATCGCCAAATGTCCTTCTGACAGAAGTACCCTATTGTTTGAGGGTAGGCAGCAATCTTATCTACCATAGCTAAGGAGACATGTTGTATGTGATTCCAAATCTGGCAACCATAAATATCCCTGGAATCATGAGCAGAAAACAATAGCAGGGGTCTTGGACCCTGGGGTCTGCAGTGGGATGGGTGGTTTCGTTGCTGGAAGATGGCATTATCGATTCTGAAGCAGAGGCCCCAGTGGCAAATGGAAATACAGGGGAGAGATCTAGTTTTAGGGGCTACTGACCTGCCAAAACACAACAAGGAGTTCAAGGGCAGCATGAAAAATTGAATTAAAGCATGTGAAATGCTTAGAAGAGTGCCTGGCATACAGTCAACCTCAGTAAATAAGGCTGCTGTTATTACTGGTTTGTCCCAGAAGAACCGGATTCCACTAAGAAAGTTAAGGTAAAATAACTAGACAGACCTGGGAAGACTTGCTAGAAAGGCAGCCACTTGGTAAGGCATGCTGGTACGTGCTACATTCTCCAAGTTAGTCCCCACCCACCATAGGTGCAAACGCAGATTTCTGGCTTGGGCAATTAAATGGATGATGATGTGTTCCAGTGAAATAAAAAATAGAAGTCTGTGTGCAGGCTTTGAAGGACAACAACACTTTGGATTCAGACAATGATAAGTTTGAGATATCCAGGTAAAGATGGTAGAGCTTTCCCTACAGTAGGTAGTTATAACCACAGATCTAGAATTTAGGCAAGAAGCTAGAGCTGAAATAACAGATGTGCCAGTCACAGCATCCATGATGAGTCAGTGTTTCCAAAGTGTGGTCTCCAGACCATCTGTGTTACAGTAAACTAAGGTGGGTGTTAAGAGCAAATCTCAGAATCCATTTACTGAATCAGAATCTCCCTCAGTGGGGTTTAGTAACCTCCAGGTTATTAATAAGCTCCTGAGTGATTCTTACACACATTTAAGTTGGAGAAATGCAGGTAGAGGGAATTTTTGCTGTTATGACTCTACAGATAACCTTGTGTAAGGAGAATGTAGGAGAAGAGGCAGCCAGGGAAACCTATGGCCCAGTGGTACCTCGTATCTAATCACTTCATCTCACTCACCCAGTAGGGTTCAAGCTAGACTTCACAGGAATGTAATCTAATGCTTGGGACCATCCCAGGCCAATGAAATTGGTATCTCTGAGAGGGAATGAGGTAGCCCTTTCCCTCCAGAGTCCCAAATAGCTGTCCTACACCAAAGCCTGCAAATGGGAGGAGGAAGGATGGGGGCAGTTTGGCCTGTGGATTACTTTCTTTGACTCTCTCAAGACTGAAAAATTTTAATTTAGTTGTAAATATTTTAAAACCAGTACATTTCACATTTAAAACAATTTTAATGTGTAACTTCTCATAAAAATTTGAAGAACTGGCCTTGCTGGGCCTACATTCTTGAATGGCAAAATAGCTGCTCCAACTAGGCCCTTTGCAGATCTCTAGGTTATCCACTGGGCCATGGCCTCTGAAAGCATTTGAGTGACGCGCACTACCAGGGGGCTTCATCATCTCAGCTTCCCTCATGCCCTCCCTGCATCCCAGTCTCCACACCAGCCTCTCTTGTCACAGATCCTGTTAAAGAACAAAAATCCGGCTGAGTAAATCTGAAGATCCAATTGGCTTTATTAAGCCATTCATGAATTAGGTAGCACCCCATTTAGCAAGTGGAAGGGAGTTCTGAGGAGTTAGACAAAATGGAAGGTTTTTACAGGAAGGAGGGTGAAGCAAGGAAATTCTCTCTCTCTCTCTCTCTCTCTTTTTTTAGCAAGGAAATTCTTAACAAAAGAAAAGGATAGTTCCAGGCATAGTCATCTTTTCTTAGTGGGCAGGACAGGGAGGTCTTCCTTGGTGGATAACCTCCTCTTCCTTTGGGGGAGGGGTATTGAGAGGGAACATGTGACAGATTACCCCATTGGTGCTGACCAGAAAATTCCTGACTGACCACCCAAGACCACATTTCTGAAGGAGGTTGAAAACTGCAATTGGGTTAATATTAAGACCCAGTGCGGCAGCTCAGCCTGGCATAAGTGACTCTATCGTGGGACTGTGGTTTTCTTATTAATCCCAAAGTCCTCCTCAGCATGGCACATAGTTTGGGGAAACTGTGTAAGACAGGCCCCACTTTGTTGGCTGGATTTATCCTGCGGTTCCAGAGCCCATTTCTTGGAGACAGGGTTGCCCATGTCTCAGGGCACATGCAGAGAACGGGTGCAGCCTGGAGCAGCACTCCCCCCTGCCAAGGTGCCTCTCAGGCACAGACCCCCATCCTGTTGCATTCTCTCTACAGGGCTAGTTTCTTTCCCAACCACATCTCCACTGGACACCAGGGTCCCCAGAACGAGCTCCAGCAAGCTCCTCACCACAGTGAAAACACCCTTTTTTGGGAGGGAGCCGCACAGGCTTGTTTGACCAGAATGCTTCCCTAGGTCTGTGGAGGGCAGGATTCTAAATGTGAATTCCATGGCCTTACCTGAGGAGAGGAATTTGAGCAGCGCGCCCCTCCCTGTAATAACGAAATTCCTCATACTGCTTCGGTTTCCCTTAAATCCGCAAACCTTAGCTAATGGATTGATCACTATTTTTGAAAAATCAATGTTAGACATTCACATCTATTTATTAGTGTTTTAGTGCTCTGAGAATGTATATTGGAAAGTAAGTAATTTGTCACTTAAAATTGCAAAGCTGGTGCAAAATGTTTCTTATCTGCAGTAATTGGAAAACAATTGAAACTAGCACTGATTTGGAAGGTACTCCAATTAATTAACTATCAGCATGCAAAAAAAATTTTTTTAACCCACATAATTTTGTGCGATATGGTCTCCAGCCTCACCCAAAAGAATGTGGTTATCCTTTTCTTGATCCTCTTCTCTTTCACCTTGAGTAGATGTGTAGTGTCCTGGAAAGAAGGTAGACATTTTGGAGTTAGACATGCCTGGGTACGAATCCTGCCTTGCTATGCGCTCCAAGGCAGATAATCTTGTCTGAAATGTTTGGCTGATGATACATAGCTTCTGGGCCACAGTGAGGATTAAATGAAATAGTAGAAATATCACACCTGATATATCCGGGCACATCTGTTTCCTTCTTAATAGAACTTTAAGTTTCATTCTAGTGAAAGTAGAGGTCTAGTGAAAGGCCTCACATTTTTTTTTAAGATTTTATTTATTTGACAGACAGAGATCACAAGTAGGCAGAGAGGCAGGCAGAGAGAGAGGAAGGGAAGCAGGCTCCCTGCTGAGCAGAGAGCCTAATGCGGGGCTGGATCCCAGGGCGCTGGGATCATGACCTGAGCTGAAGGCAGAGGCTTTAACCCACTGAACCACCAAGGCACCCCAGGCCTCACATTTTTAAAAATGTATTTTATTTATTTATTTGACAGAGAGAGAGAGAGAACACAAGCAGGGAGCGTAGCAGGCAGAGGGAGAGGGAGAAGCAGGCTCCCTGCTGAGCAAGGAGCAGGATGTGGGGCTGGATCCCAGGACTCTGAGATCAGAGTCTGAGCCAAAGGCAGACACTTAACTGACTAAGCCATCAGGCACTCCAAGACCTCGCATTTTTACAATAAAATTCCTACACTTCACCACAATTTTAATAGAAAAATATCATCATACTTTCTGGGTCCATAACTTTTACTCAGGATCTTATGAACATATTATGTGGATTCAGTTTATACGATAGGTCTGATATTGTTAGAATTACTGCTATTAAGCAGAATTCTCTATAGAGAAAAAAATATATTTTCAAATTTCAATGAATTGGCACTTACTCCAAGCAATATTTAATTCATCCTTTCAACAATCATTTGCCGTCCACCATGGGAACAGCTAGGAGAATATCATCCCTGCTCATCCTGTAGAGAAAAAGACAAGACAGATAAAAACATACTGTCATTATACTACAGTATAGACACTAACAAATAAGTCCCCTATGAGAAGACAAGAGCATGGAACCACTAGTTTTGCCTAGAGATACAGACAGACTTATAAGAGTAACACGTGATATAACACAATCACTATGAAAATAACTTTACCATCACAAATAGTGCTTGTTTTAACGGCATTTCACTTGTGATTTACTTTTTATTAACTTGTGTTCTGCTCTGTGAACCTATAGGTTTCTTTGTGTATAAATGCCTTGCTCCAAAATAGGTATACTACCTTTAAGTGAGCTACATCCAGAGAATTTAAAAAAGGTTTCCTTAGGGGCACCTGGGTGGCTCAGTCAGTCAAACGTCTGCCTTCAGCTCAGGTCAGTGACCCCAGGGTCCTGGGATTGATCCCCTTCCCAGGCTCCTTGCTCAGAGGGGAATCTGCTTCTCCCTCTTCCTCTGCTTTTCTCCCTGCTTGCATGAGTGCACTCTTTCTCTCTCTATGTGTCAAATAAATAAATAAAATCTTTTAAAAAAAGATTTCTTTAATTCCAAACTATGATAGCAAATATGTTTTTCCTAAAATATTTGTGAAACATAATGGAAAAAGATAAAGTGCTTCTTGGACCAACAAGAATGTCATAAATAGGGGCGCCTGGGTGGCTCAGTGGGTTAAAGCCTCTGCCTTCGGCTCAGGTCATGATCCCAGGATTCTGGGATGGAGCCCTGCATCAGGCTCTCTGCTCGGCAGGGAGCCTGCTTCGTCCTCTCTCTCTCTCTGCCTGCCTCTCTGCCTACTTGTGATCTCTATCTGTCAAATAAATAAAATCTTTAAAAAAATTTTTTTTAAAAATTAAAAAAGAATGTCATAAATACTAAGGTATAGCCACTTATAAAATTATTAACATTAATTTTGTCACATAACTGACCCATGTTACAGCACATCATTACCAAAAAAGCACTAATCATGAATTTATTTGAATCTACAAAACAGAAGGTTTTATTATTTCCTGAGCATTATTTGGCAAGATTTAACAGTAAGAAAAAAAAAATCTTGAGGCACCTGGCTGGCTCAGTCAGTAGACCAGGTGACTCTTGATCTCAGGGTTGTGAGTTTGAGCCCCACATTGGGTACAGAGATTACTTAATAGTAAAACTGGAAGGAAGGAAGGAAGGTAGGAAGGGAGGGAGGGAGGGAGGGAGGAAGGAAGGAAGGAAGGCAGGAAAAATCTTATTTTGGTACAGGTTGGGTGGTTATCTGGGCTCACACAAGAGCTAAGTATTTTCCTGAAACTGGTATTTCATAGAAGCCAACTCACATTTATGCCTTAGTAAATACACGTAAGCACAAGGACTGAATGTTGGGTGCTGACAGAGAAGTCTGAAATCTTGAATATCAGTTTCATACTCAGAAGTGGCTAGATCTCCTGAAGTTTATAAAAATGTATTGAGGTCCATCATCTTTGACTTCTTTATAGTTGTTCCTATGAGAAGAGATAATCAAGGTCATAGGCCCACATCCAAATGGCCACACCCACAGCTAGCTCACCCAATGGGGTGTTCTATGCCCTCATGGCAGACACTCTAGAAATATGCAGAATACAATAAAATACCATAAAAATATATCTTTCTAGAAGGGGTCCAAATCCCTCCACTTCCCTAAAGAGATACAATGATTTAATAATTCAGGAGCCTTGAAAATAATCTCATTTGAAGTATTAAAAAAAGAATGAAAACGGAATCAGGAAAGATGGGTTTTAACCAGCTCTGCTACTGCCCATCTGTATCATCTTTGATGAGTTCACTAATCTCTAAACCTTCAGGGTCCCAATGCATTTGTGTAAACTTTAGGAGCTCCAGGCATCTGTGGGTATAAAACTGTTATTCAAGATTCTGTGACTTCTCTTTGGGCACCTAAGTTTCACTGCCTGAACCTCTGTGTTGTTTTACTAAGGCACAAAATTTCTTCATGTGAAAAATAACAGTATTGGACACACACAAAAATAAGTCAATTTAATCTCTAAAATTTTATGGCTCTAAATAATTTATATCAAGTGGTAATGAATGCAAATTTTATTCATTTTATGTCTTTGTACTTTTTATAGAGAGACAAGTTTGGTGAAGATTTAACTCATTTATTTGTCTCTGTGTTCCAGACAAAATTGTCTTATATTTTGGAGTGAGCAGGGCTCTTCCTCCTGCTCCCTTATGATGATGAGGACAATAGAGTGGGCGAGATGTATGAAATCGCATGTCTGCAGAATAAAGAAGGTTTGCTTCATATTTTTCTACAGCACTGCCTTGATTCCATTTGGAAAATACACCTTTAATTACATGCTGGTGAGAACTACAGAGCTAGAACATCTGAAAATTACACAGTGGATAATCATAGGTTTTCTTTTTCTTTTTTTTCTTTTATCCTTCTTCTTCTAATTTTATTTTACCGTATTTATTCAACTGTCTTTATCTGGGAAATCTAAGCTTAGATCTTTTCCATAGAGAAAAGGACCGCAAAATGATGAGGATGGCTTTACAACTCTTTCCAGAATTCAGCATCAGCCTACAGAGTTAAGTGCTATAATGATGTATACGCGCTGTAATGATGCATATTTCAATTTAACCAGCCAGTCATGACTATGATAATTGAGAAAATCAATGCCGTTGGGTCAGACACCCCTTCTGAAATATCATAAGGGGAAATGCAATACTATTCTGAGAAACAAGATAGGGAAGTTCATCTTACGGTGGAGCCTACCACCAATCAACCTTTAGAATTGAAAATCAGAAAAACCTGCAATACATAGACTCAGAGAGAGGCAGAGGTCCCCTACATTAATTTTTTTTCCTTTAGCAAGACTAAGGAACAAGAAAGCAAGTAAAAGCTTGGCACAGACTGTGTCTACACTATTCCACAGAAAGTGAATTATTAGGTGAAAAATCAAGCGAGGGTTCTATAACCCCTCCTCCCCCCATGTAGTTAGTGACTTAATCAGTACACTGTGACCTCATGTTGTTTATCTCCCTACAATTCCAGGTCTTCGGGTTCATGTTAACCCTATGTTCTTAATTTATGCAGCACATCACAGAGAATTATGGAAACCCTGTCAGCTTTGCTAGAATGATGTGATGTTAAGAGCTATTTCCAGTTGAGAGCACAAATGACAAGGAAGGAAAAAGAAAGTGATGGAGATAAGTAATAGGTGGAGAGATGTTATGAAGGTATGCGGCTCCTGTAAAATATTATACACATACAAGCCTTTTCTGTTCTCTAGTTCTCACTCCATTAAAAAAGATGTTAAAATCTGAACTGAGACTGTAAGAGTGATATTAAAATGTTAAGATTTAGGTAACCAGCTAAAAATTAAAAAGTAAGAGAAGGCCACAGCAGGTGGGTGACGGGTAGAAGTACAGATCACTTGTAAATTAAGAAAACAAATATTCGTTTAAAAGCTCTTTTTATTGGACACCTAGATGGCTCAGATGCTTAAGTATCTGCCTTCTGCTCAGGTCAAGATCCCAGAGCCCCACATCGAGCCCCACATTGGGACTCATCGGGGAGGCTGCTTTTCCCTCTGCTTTCACCCTATTTGTGAACTCTCACTCGCTCTCAAATAAATGAATTATATCTTTTTTTAAAAGTTCATTTTAGGGGCGCCTAGGTGGCTCAGTCGGTTAAGCATCTGCCTTTGGCTCAGGTGGTGACCCACCTGAGGTGAATCAAACCCACATGGGGCTCCCTGCCCAGCAGGAAGCCTGTTTCTCCCTCTCCCTCTCCCTCTGCTTATGCTCTCTCTCTCTCTGTGTCACATAAATAAATAAAATCTTTTAAAAAATTTATATAAAAAAGTTCATTTTATTTTCCAGTTAACAAAGTGAAAGAATATGTCAGCACTTACTTTTATGTACTTTCTATCCCCCACAGGAAATTCAATTCACTCAAACACTTAGAACCAATCATACATACATGGATAGGCATGAAAATCTATTTATAGAGCTTTATCTTCAAGTTTTAGAGTGTTTGTAGGGAAAAAAATCACCATGTCCTTTTTTTTCCCCCAGTAACACTATGAAGTACACTTAAGATCCTACATACTCATCAGAGAGGCATCCCTGAAAAGAGAACCTTTTGTCCTTATATTTTCAGGCTACTAAGCAAGAGCAAGCATCCACCTGTTCTTATCACTAAGTACACATTTTCAAGTAACATAAGCCAAAAGTGGACATCAAGTCTCCTTGCATCCCTGTTTTTCAAAATAGCACCATCACTCATGAGATAAACTAAGTGGCTCTAAATTTAGTTCATGAAATTAAGCTCTCCAAAGAATAAAGTTCTTATGCTTGCATTAATATAGCTGATATAAATAAATGTTATGCTAGTGGAGAATAAAAAAGTAATTCACAGTCTGAGCCTGAGCTTAGGGAAAAAAGTATATTTTTATTTATTCTGTATTGCCGCTGATGGAATGTGAACAATTGTGTCCCTTCAAAGAAGACTGCCCCTTTGGAAATACTCTATGGCAACTGTGCTCACATGTTAACATAATTTATAGTCTGAAAAATAAAGGTGCTTTAAAAAAAAAGTCAAAAGAATGATGTAATTCATTGTCAGTTGACCCAAAATATTTAGTTTCCACTGCTTTCAGAAGTAGTAGAAGCTTTTCTTATTTGCTCTTTAAATTCATAAAAATCTTAATTTATAAAAATCTTTCCAGTATTCCAGTCATTAAAGCCATAAATTCAAATCTTTCTTTTGTCAAGTCAAGACACCAAATGGAAATAAATTAATGTACACATTATTGGCAATCATACAAGGGGAGTACCTCCTAACATCCTTATTCTTTTCCCAAGGGGAATTTTTGTATTCAGTCATTACGTCTTATAAACTTAAGACTTATTAACAGGAATATATTCCTTAACCAGCTTGTTATCTTTTCAGATGAGGTCAATGCCTTTGATGGAGATCCAGGAAGATTACTTTTCTAA